CCGCATCCCGGACCCGCACCCACACCCCGCATCCCGGACCCGCACCCACACCCCGCATCCCGGACCCGCATCCACACCCCGCATCCCGGACCCGTATCCACACGCCGCCGCCGCCGCCGCCTTCCCGGGCCCTCCGCGCCGCCGGGCCGCGGCCTGACCCTCCCCGGGCTGCGGCCTGCCCCCGCCCTCGGCCCCCGGCTCACCGAGCACCAGCACCATCTGCCCGCACAGGCAGTAGTAGACGTGCAGCGGCTTCTCCCCATCGTCGTACTCCTCGCGGTCGCGGGTGTCGGAGCAGACGACAGAACGCGACACCACCTTGGGCATGGCGGCGGCRGGCTCGGAGCCGCCTGGCCCGGCCCCCGCGCCCGGCCCCGCCCGCCGGGGCGGCTCCCCGAGGCTCCGGGGGAACGCACGGGGCCCGACGGCTCCCGACGCTCCTGTGCCGCTAAAGGCTCGTCCTGACAAGCACCCAGAGCTCACACTGTTCTTATCGCGCAGGCTGGTGCAGCAAGAAGGGTCCAGATCGTCAGGTTTGCAGTGTGGCTGTGATAACAATGTTTCTGTTACATTCTTTCAGTGGGTCTTCTGCCGTGACTCTTTCCGAAGCCGCCTCCCCACCCGGCTGGATTGTATGAAATTAGAAGTGAGGATAAACTCGAAAAACGGAGCCCAGCCAGCCTGCTTTAGATAACAGCAGAAAGATTCTTTACTTCTGAAGGCTGTTAAAGAAACGTGGAAGATAGATTATCTTCTATTGGAAAACAGTCATTGGCGAAGCAGAAAATGCAGTGTARCAGGTTGCGCTGGTTTTGGCAGCGATAGAGTTGATTTTCTTCACAGTAGCTGTTACGGGGATGTGTTTTGGGTTTGTGCTGGTAACAGTATTGGAACTCAGAGATGGTTTCGTTTCTGCTCAGCAGGGCTTGCCCTGAGCCAAGGCCTTCTCTGCTCCTCACCCACCCCAGTGACAGGCTGGGGGTGCACAAGGAGCTGGGAGGGGACAGAGCCAGGACAGCTGATCCCAACTGACCCGAGGGATATCCCAGACCATATTCAGACCATGCTCAGCAATAAATCTGGGAGAGAAGGAGGAAGGGGGGACATTTAGAGTGATGGTGTTTGTCTCCCCAAGTCACCATTACGTGTGATGGAGCCCTGCTGTCCTGGGGMTGCTGAACACCTCGCGGCCCGGGAAAGCGAGGAATGAACTCCTTGTTTTGGTTCGCTTGTGCGCGTGGCCCTCCCTTTCCCAATTGAACTGTTTTGATCACAGCCCGCAGCGCCGCCGCTGCGCCGCCCCTCCGTGACGTCACTGCACGYAACACCCCCGCCCCCCGCCGCCGTTGGTACCGCCCCCAGGCACCGCCCCCGCCGCGGTGGTAGAGGCTGGGCCGGGGGCTCAGCCACATCCGGCTCCGCCCCCCTCTCCCCGCGCCGTTGGTACATCCCGGGACCGTCCGGCTGCCGGCGCAGGAGTCGGTGCAGCCCAAGCTCCCCCCCCCGCGCCCGCCGCAGTGGTAGAGGCCGCGATCGCTCCTGTCCGTCAGCGCCGCCGCCGCCTCAGTCGGAGCCCGAAGCTCAGCCGCGCCCGGCGCTCGCTCCGGCAGTGTATGCCTGAGCTATAACCCTCAGCCCGCCATGTCCACTCCGGCCCGTAGGCGCCTCATGCGGGACTTCAAGAGGTATCGAGGCCGCAGGCCGAGGGTACAGGGGCGGGCGGACGGGAGGAGGACGAAGGGCCCGGCGCTACCGGGGGAGGAGGGGGCAGCACAACATGGCGGCGGGGCAAGGCGCGCTCCGCTGATTGCGTAGCGCGGGCGGCGCTGCCTGGCGCGGGTTACGCCGTTGGCGCAGGCGGCCGCTGCCAGCCCGGGTTACGCCGTTTGCGCAGCTCGGGCCCGGGTTACGGCGTTTGCGCGGCGCGGCGGCTGCCGGGCCGGGTTACGCCGTTTGCGCAGCGGCGTCCTGGGTTACGCCGTTGGCGCAGCGCGGGGGGCGCGGGCCGCGCTCACCTTCTCTGTGCCCCGCAGGCTGCAGGAGGATCCCCCGGCCGGGGTGAGCGGGGCCCCCTCCGAGAACAACATCATGGTGTGGAACGCCGTCATCTTCGGGTGAGTCGGCAGGGAACGGGGCGGCGGGCCGCGGGGGCCGCTCAGCCGCCGGGGGGTTGGAGCCGGGCTGCCAGCGGGGTAACGCTGTGCTTTGCTTTCCCTCCTCCAGGCCCGAGGGGACCCCTTTCGAGGACGGTAAGTGCGGCGTGGGGGGCTGGTGTTTGGCTTTCTTGGGGTAACACGGTTTGACACGGCCTTGGTGTCACTGCCGTGGACTCTGCAACAGGTGTTGGCCCGGGGATGGTGGGGGGCGTGGAGTGCATGTTCACCTGACCATACACCCRTGTGCTTGGTTTGTGTAAATACTATTTTTCTAACCCTGCTCTCAGAAAGTGTTGTAGATTTAGAGTGCTRTGTTGACTTACAGAAACATACAAATTAGCTTGTACAGTCTTGTTTGTAATTGCTGAGTCTGATTATCATAAGTCATTTTAAGGATATCTACAAACTGTTGAACTCTGGATCATGTTTGGGTAGCCATCAAAAACCTGGTATAGAACCGCTGTATTTTGTTGGAGTGCTGGTTTTTTTTTCTGATGCTGGAAGTGYTTTGTGAGCAAGTTCCAACGTGAGTCAGCCTTAGTAGGAAATGGGCTGAAGTAGGAATGTTTGAGGAAGTTCAGAACAGTGGCTTTTTCTTATCGTTTATTTGACTACTGCAATTGGTATAAGTCAGGCTTGAGACTGAAAGGACTTTTTAAGTTTAAATGCTGACTAAATAGGTCCTGGTAAGATACCTGTAGTTTCCATCTGGTGTTACTGACTTTGATAGGTTTACTGATGCTATATGGGTACAAACATCTTGTGAAAACCTGTTAGACATGAAATACTGTCTAACTGAAATCAGTTATGCATTTTTTAAAGATACTTTCAGTGTAGGGTATAATTAATCTTAGATTTCCATGACTCATGACAAAAGCATAGGAAAAATTCCTTAACTCTTCTGTTGYTCTTGGCTAACTCCCTTGTCTTTGTTTATCCTTGGAGGTAGCACCTGTGGACGTGTATCTAAATTGCAGATTGTATTTCCCTGTGAAGATTTTGAAGATCTTCAATGTTTCAGACCTAAGAAAATGCCAAAGAYTCCTGTCGCTTCTTTTTAATGTATTTGATTAGTTAAGAAACTTAGTGGAGTAGCTGCTTCAGCAGTCTGATGTTTAGAACTTGAACTTAAAACATTGCATAATAGAACAGTTAGACTAAATATATTTAGTCTAATGTTCTAACTGTTAGAGMAGGGCTCTCTCTAACTTCTGTGGGGGTTGCTAGAGCTGCTTTGGCTCTCGGAGCACTGCTGCTAATAGAGTGATTCACTGTTTGGAGCAGAAAGCTGTCTCCTTGCAGTGTGCTAAAATGCAGGTTGTTGCCATGCTTAAGCTCTTCCAGCTCAGCATGTGGTTAACAGATGCTATAAGTGGTTTTTTTTCCATATATTTCCATTTAGTTGCAGAAGGTTGAAGACTGCTTTTGAGAGCCCTGACATATTGATTTCCTCTGTCCTTTCTGAGGCAGCATTGTGTCTTTATTTTGGATACTGAGGACATGTTGCACTTACAGCAGTTAGAGGTTCAGACGGATGCTTGAGGCTGATGCTGCTGCCCTCTTGCTTTGGTTGATGTCATAATGTAATCTCAGGGTGTGATGAATTGSTCTTTTCTTAAAGCAAAGTCTGTGTTTTCACACTGTGTGCGCAGGAAAACAGATGTGACTTGTGYTGCAGGATATCTGCTTATCTCCTTTGCTCTGGATGTATCTTACCTTGCCAGATAACAAAGCACTAGGTGTTGCCTGGAGATAGGGCTGTGTTGGTGCCTCAGCTGTGCTTTCTATTCAGTGAGGGGAGCAGCACAGTTCAGATAATGGTGGTGCAGTCCAGATGCAGTTCAGCTTCATGTACATAAAACTAAGGGAATTTTAATTTAATAGAATGTTAGTTTGGGCTTGCTTTGCAGCTGTGCAGGCCCTTGTGAGTCAAAGGTACACTGAAACTCTGTAATCTTTCTTACTGAGCCTTTGCAGCAAGGTCAGTGTTCTTTTCATTTTTAGGCTTTTTCACTCCATRGTGATACTGTAAAATTTCAGATTGCTTAGTTCTTGTGAAAGTAGCCTGTGAAGTTTGGGGTGTTTTGTTAAACTAGAGGTATAATAATTCCAACATCATGGAAATTACTGTTCTTTATCCTTAGTCTTGTAAGGCCCTTCACTCACAGCTCTGAGGTGTCTTAGTTTGTCTGGGCTGCAAACCTGAAGTTGAAACACGTTTGTTTACTTGCTGTGCAGCATTCTGCAGCTGACATCCCTGCTTCTCCACCCCCAGACTTTGGAGGATGTTTTCACAACTCAGTGCGCAGGCTGGCTCAGCTTAGGAGCAACCACKAATTTAGATCAGCAGCATAACTTCCATCTTCTGGTTTAAGAGAATTTGATCGCAGGTGTCTGCAGTAGGATCCTGGGGAYATTTATCCTGCCCTTCAGTGTATTTCTAAGAATCTTTGCATGTGGTATCTAAAGTGATAATGCTGGCACAGTCAGGAAAACCTAAGCTCTCACTAACCTTCAGACCTTTTTCTCTGAAACTGGATAATGGTAGTGTGGTTAGTGCAGGATTCCTGGCTWGGAGAGAGTTAAGGTCTCCTATTGYAGTATTCTGCTTTGCTGTGATTGTGCAGGAGGCTTGAAGCTCATCCCTGCCTTGTGGGCAGTGGACTGGAGGGGCTGCTCTTGGGGTCTGCAGGGTGCCCTGCAGGGACATGGGCTCTGCTCCCTGGGGTTGCTGGGGCTGGTGCACAGGTCATGCAGAAGCCACTGTTGGGTCTGTCAGGGTCTCAAATTCTGAGGTAGAAGTAATCAATGAGTTAAGTATGGGGCAGAAAAGAGAGTGTTCCTAACATTAGTTGTGATCCCAATATCAATAATGACAGTGAATATAACTTAYGTTTTWAAAAAGGCTGTGTAGGGCAAGAAATTGYRAGAAATACCAGTTGAAAGCATTAAAATTAGAGACAGAAAAGACTGGWCACTGAAGGCCTCATTCCCAGCAGTGTGTTGTGATAACTATTTGACTTGTGTAGGCTTTCAGTGTGAGTGACCCTTGGACTTCAGTGYGTCACATCTCTGGCTTTGCCCTTTAATAAAGCTCAACAGTGAGGTTTTGCGTACTGTGGAGCATTTCCAAAGAGCCATTGCCACTCTGGGCCCTGACTTGGAAATTTGAGTAGGTGGGTGCTCCCAACTGGACATGGGGACATGGACTACCCCTTGCTTAGAT